TCGAAAATGTTACTGAACAGTTCTTGACCATACATGTAGCCTCCATGATTCTGACTTGACTCAAAACAAATTAGCAACAACTAAGCAGCGCTAAGAGATCTAATACTGGTATCATCATGGTCTGCTGCTTTTGTTGATGTTAAGTGTCTTTAAGTTGAATACTACTGATAATGAATGATCCAATAAGGAACAGATGTGAACCTAGTCTATCCCATGCCATTCTCACCATCTCTGACACACAAACTCACTGCTACAGTCACTGGGTCAATCCACCTGATTGAGGTTCTTCCTTTCTTTCAGTGACCCTGCACCTTTCCAAGCATGGTGTCCCTCTCCAAGTAATAACCTCTCCCAGCAACATGCCTTAAGTATTAGAGACAAAATGTTATCATCTTTGCATCTAAGGAGCACTCTGACTGACGGCACCTTCACCAAAACATACTTTGTTCTTTTGGCAGTCCATAGGATATTCAAAACTCTTCTCCAACACCACAGTTCACAAGCATCAATTCTTCAGTCATCCTTATTCACTGTGCACCATTCACACGCACAGGAAGGAATTGAAAAGAGCATAGCTTGAATCAGGAACACTTCAGTCCTCAAACTAACATCATTGCTCCTCAGTAATTTGGAGAGGGCCCTGATTACAAACTTTCCCAGTGCAATATGTCTCCTGATTTGCTGACAGCTGGTACCAAGGGTGTTGATGGTGGATCCAAGTAAGATGAAGTGGTAGACAGTTTCATTCTTTTCTCCACCTATCATAATGTTGCCTATCAGTTCAGTGGTGAGAATTTTTCTGTTTTTGATGTGAAATGTAATCCACATTGAAGGCTGTAGTCTTTGATATTCTGCAATAAGTGCTTCACATTTTCCTGACTTTCAGCAGGCAAGGTTGTGCATTTGCATAATGTAAGTTATTAATAAGTCTCCCTCAAAATCTGATGTCACATTCTTATTCATAGAGTCCAAATTCTTGAATAATTTGCCAAGCATACAAAATTAACAAGTATGGAAAAAGGATTCAACCCTGACATTTGCCTTTCTTAATTTTAAACCACATAATGTTCCCGTACTCTGTATATACAACAGCCTCTTGGTCTCAGTATAGGTTTCACATGAGCACAATCAAGTGTTCTAGGATTTCCATTCTTCTCAATATTAGCCATAATTTGTTATGATCCACAAAATCAAAGGCCTCTGCAAAGTCAATAATGCACACAGTTTTCTGATGTTCTTCACTTTCAGCCAGGATCTGTCTGACAATCAGCAATGATATCCCTGGTGCCAGGGCCTCTTTTAAATTCAGCCTCAACTTTTGGCAGTTCTGAATGTACTGTTCCAACTGGTTTGTTTTAATGATCTTTAGCACTATTTGCTTGAATGTCAGGAGGAAATTGAAGATATTTACCAAATCTTGCACTACAAAATTGACCAAATATGCAATCAAGATGTGGTGAGGATAACTGGTAACTAGAAAGCAAAAGCTGGAAACAATGACGAAGGAATGATAGTCAGAAAGAACAGACTTTGTGACAGAAATAAGGCCAGAAATACAATTATCTAATTTTGTATCCTCAATGATTTATTAATTGCAGATGTCTTTTTAAAAAAGTACAAAGAGCAACTTTATGCATACGCCTCACCTGACGGAGGTGCATATTCTGTGCATAAGAGTCAGACTGACTACATCTATGCAAGGATCTTCGGATCTACTGAAGTATAGAATTGTTCTCTTTTTAACAATCCTTAAACTGCTATACTTTCAAGATCTGGTTTAGTTTTTTGTTTTGTCAGCTCTTTGAGACTCTTAAATTTCTCTTCTTCTGTTAGTACACTCATACCATTCTTCACTCATTCACTTACTTTTAATCCTTTTTATAATACAAGAAACTATTGACAGCCATGTCAAAGTAGTTAATTACACGCCAAACTGTATCTATGAAAAACTAAATATGCTTTGGATTCAGACATTTTTGAGCACATGAACTTCTACGCAATGATTGTGGCATGTTGTTTTTGTGATTTATCTGAACAATCTCATTATTCTATAGTCAATACTGAAACATTTGGATATATTTTTACATTTCATTCTATATTTTGCATTTATCAAAACTTCATTGTGATTTAAGTGAAAGCTTATGATTTTTCATTCACAATATATACACATTCTGTTTCATGATGCATAGATTACAATCTCCACATTTTAGCAACTTTTTTTGCATCTTCTTCTTGTTTCTCATTTCCATTTCCCCTTTCTTATGCCTTCTTGACTTCTGAGCTGTATCATGTATGCTAAAGAATGCATTCCTCCCTGCCAATACTGATCATCTTATTACTTATATAACTTTTTATTATTTGGTTGGAATTTATGTCATGAAGTGACTTCAGTTATAGGTTTAATGATATTTATGATTCTGAGTTTTTCTACCACACTATGAGGAACCTTCAATTGTGATCCCTTTCAAAAGCAGTCAGCAGAGGTAGCCAGGTTCATCCACTTATTCTAATCACAAGGCCGTGGAGAATGACATTCATGTGATCAATTAATCCTCTGAACTAACGGTTTTTATTTTCATCATTTATCTTCACTCAAAATAGGGAAAAACTAATAGTTACCCCTTATATGGCCCTTCAAAAGCTTTTAAGATACCAGTTGCTAGTCATGAAAGTAGAAGGCAGAAGAGTGTCTCTGTGAACTACATTATATATAACAGTGGACAATGACGTTCCCCAAAACTACACTTCGGAGCTTCTAAGCTCACCATCTCATTACCTAAAGCAGTTAATTTATAATTAACAAGTTTTCATAATTGTGTGGTTATGCAATGTATTTTGACTGCTCAAAAGATTTTTCTTTTTCCTCTTGGTACTCAGATATAAATAGATAAGCTAGGTGCTACTGGAAATCATTACCAGAACATGAACTAGTTTTGACTTGTTTCTGTTTTGTTGTTGTGTTTTTTTTTTACTTGTTCCCGTTTTAATACTAAAACTTTATAAGACCTCTATTAACCAAAAATAAATCTAACATTTTCGGTTCTCAAGACTTAGGAAAACCATTCAGCTTTGATATTACAAAGAAAAGTATTAATTATACATAATTTGTATGAGGAAAAAAAATTACTTTTTTTAATCCTCCTTTCCATTTGGAATTTAGATCTTTCCAAAATTTTTACCTACATAAAAACTACTTAGACATTATACAATGACTTTTTATAAAAAACTATATTTAAATTGATAAATGGGATCTTCTAAAGATTAAATCTCTGTGAGCATAAAAAACTTTTTCTAACAGAGTGAAAAGAAAACCTACTGACTGGGAACAAACATTTGGCAATACCATTTCAGACTAGGGTCTCATATCCTAAAGCCTAAAGAGCATTACAGGGCCTCCACAAGAAAAAGACTGATCACACAATTACAAAATAGACAAAAGACATGGAAAGCCTTCACAGAGAAAGATATTTGGATGGCCAACAGACACATGAAGAAATGCTCTAAATCACTGGCAATAGGAGAGATGCAAATCATAAAAAAAAATTTAAAAAAAAGAGAGATGCAAATGAAAACCACAATGAGACATCATCTTACTCCAGTAGCAGTGGCAAAGTTTAACAAGACAGCAAGTAATAAATGATGGAGAGGATGTAACAAGAAAAGAATGTTTATAGACATTTTTGGTGGGATTGTAAATTGGTACCACCACTCTGGAAGGCAATTTGGCATTTCCTTAAAAAGCTGAATAAAGAAATTCCATATGAAGTAGCTATTCCACTGCCTGGAATATATCCCAAGGAAATGAGAACTGAGGCACAAACAGAGACTTGTACACCAATGTTCACAGCAGCATTATTCACCATTGCAAGAACATAAAAACAGCCCAAACGTCCAACCACAATCGAATGGATTGAGAAATTATGGTACATACACCCGATGGAATACTACGTAGCTTGTCGGTGCAATGATTTTGTAATCACTACCTAACTTGGGAGGGACTGGAGAGCATTATGCTAAATGAACTAGTTCAGTCTCATAAGGATAAATACTGTATAAGTCCATTATTATAGAAATAGATAACTTGTAAAAGGCATATGATGATGATAGCACAGGGGTAAGGATGGGTGAGGGGTATAATCAAAGGATCATAAAATTTTATGGAGGGAAGGGCAGGCTAAAGAAATGGGAAAGATCCAGTGTGAAAAAGAATGTATAAGGAATTTGTAAGTAAACCAGAAAAAAAAAAGTTTTTTAAAAAGAGAGAGAGGAAAATGCTTTACATTTTTTGTAAAAAAAAAAAAGCTGTACTTCTACATCTTTCTAGAAAGTATTTTTTGCCTAAAATTTTATTACTACATTGTAATTTTTCACTGTTCAAAATATTCCAAGCTTTGAGATTTAGCAGCAAAATTATTCAACAATTAATGCAAGGCAAAAAGTCTAGATCCAAAAAGAATCAACTATGTACCACAAGTATTGTAAAATTTAATAGGTATAGAATAATTACTTATTAAATTATTCCAAACTATATATGCTTTAGTCATAAAATTATCGTCAATACCTATTATCGTCAATACCTGAATGCCTTTTATTCTAAAAGGCTAGAACTAGAAAAAAAATGAAACTAAAATACAAAACAACTTTTTATTTCCAAATTTCAAAACAAACTATAAGTGTAATTAAAAGATAGCTATAAACAGAGAAAAAATGAGTTCTGGATGCTACATATTTTTCTTGATGTACATTTATCAATTTTTTTTCTTATAACAAGAAAATACAAACTTGGTTTATATATATTACATAAAACATCCTATAAAGCAAATAAAAGTTTAAACATTTAAGTGTACTGTTTCATGATTAAATGGTATTTCTGATTATAGCAGTCTGTATATATGTGTATATTCAAGCAAATTGGTATGATTCTAATGAACATGAATACTTCAGGAATAGGAAAATGCAATTAAAAAGCCCAAAATTGACAAAAACAGGTAATATTTAACCTCTGCGGATTTTCCAATTTTCTGAAAGTGTCAGGAAGATGCTCAGCCAGATCCATCATCTCTTCAGAGATTAAATTCAACTGTTTTTGCACATCACTGGGTAGAATTTGCTCCTCTAGAGAGAAAAAAAAATCAATATTAAGTTTCAAACCAAAAAAAAGATATATATTTAGCCATGTCATTAAAATTACGATTCAGATCTTCATTTTTTTTAATTTATATAAATTCTAACAAAATACTTTTCTTATCCTAAAATCACCTCATAATCACATTACTTTGTTTTTCAGCATACAACTATTAACATTTTAGGAAGGGGGGAAGCAAATGATCTCCATTTATATATATTACAACTCTTCAGTCATCGGCCTAAGGAGAAAAAGGTGTCTATGAGAATCTGAACCTATCGTTGCTTCAGAATCAGAAATCAGTAATACTATGTGTGATACTACTTAACACAGTTTCGTAAACATATTCTTATCCATTGTATTTCCTCAGTTTCCCTACTTATACGTGTCAACATGAAAATAAAGTACAAGACTTTAAAATCAGTGATCATCTTCTTTTTTTTTTTTTAATGGTCTATGCAACATACATTTATTATCTCACAGTTTCTTTTTTTTTCTATAATTATATTTTATTAATTTTCATAAACATTTACAGAGATTTTGGGCTTCCACTCATTCATTGTT